GGCGCGAGCTCCAGCCGCGCCCGGGGCGTCCGGGGCCGCGGGCGCTGGCCTCACACTTAACGGAGAAAACCCGGCAACTCGGTCTCGACAGAGACAGACACGGAAGGGCGGCCGCTCCGACCTACGACTCGGGATCAAGGCGGCTGCGGGGTCCGGGGCCTGCAACCCACCTCGAGTCGGATTACACCGGAATCTCCGGCGCCTGCATGTGCCCGCCGCGCGGAGAGGGCCGGGGGCTCCGTAGTGTTTCCCGGGGCCTAAGAACCGCTCCTACTTTCTTGGTTACCGCGGAGAGGATGGGCAGGGGCTCGTGTCTGTCCGGAACCCAAGTCCCGGGGGTTTGCTTTGTTCGCAGAGCGAGGCCGGCTGTCCCTGCTCTGGATCGGGGCCATCGATCGCGCGGAGTTTCCGGCGGCATCGGCATCAGCATCCGCGGAACCCGGGCTGCCGGGACCATCTTCCGCCCGCTGAATAGTGGCTTTAAATACTCTAGCTGCGCTCATGCAGATCAGAGTGTAGTAGAACTGGATGGACGATCAGGGCCAAATACACAATTTATTTGGATGGTATAAGCTTACAAACACACAACAGAGGAATTATTTTCTACCTGATTTACCCAGATAATTCTCCCCCTTTCTTGCTCCTGAAGACCCAGTAGAGACACAGGATGCTTTGTCTTAGTGGAGTAAATTGTAGTTTGAGGACTTAAACCAGACAAATAGTTGCAAAATAAATGCAATCTTTGCCCACATCAAAAGCTCAGAGATGCTCTAAGTATTTGGGTTGTGGCTCAACCAGGACCTTCTCTTCAGCCAGGAGACCCAAGGACTTGTTTTTCAGCCATTGGGAGAGGGTTATAGTGTCCTTCCTTCTCTGACAGCTACCCCAGTTACTGAGTCTCATGGCCTGTGTAGACACCACCCAACAAGGTGCATTCTCTTTCAGATCTGCAGTGTCTCAGAATAAAGCAAGGAATAAATTAAGGGCCAGTTATTCCTGACCACCCTCAATTCCTTTCTTCCTTTTTAGCCAGAAATGTCTTCACTGTCAACTCTTCCTGTATAAATATGTCTTAAGAGGAGGATAGTCTCTTGCCTGGATTCATTGGGATTCAGATCCCCCTCCCCCTTTTTTCAGATCCCCCTCCCCCTTTATTCAGATCCAGGCACAGCCACCCAAGGCCTCCCCTAGGTCGTGGCTGCCAGAAGCTATCTGGTTCCCAGCCTTAACTCACACTCTGTAAGGCCTTTGTATGAGTACCCTTGAAGCTTGGGATCATCTTCTTCCTGCCTGAACCCCTCAGCTATACAAGACAGCTGGGGATTAGGGGCAAAGGGAAATAGTATTTGGTTTAAATTTACCCATTTTATTAGCTGCAGGAGTAAGGAAAGGAGAGGAGACAAAGTTTTCCGTGCAGGAGGCGTGGACTCAGGTGGGGGCCCCTGCAATTCCTGAGCAGGCCCAAGAGGGTGGAGGGGGAATTTGGAGTAGACTCTTTGATTGGAGTCAGGCTGTGAAAAAGAGAAACTTGGGACCAGAGGCGCAAGGGTAGAGGCATAGGGAGGGTGTTCCACCCACAAAGAAGGGGTGAGGTGGAGGTACAGAGGGCTCATGTGCTCAGTTGGAACCCAGACTTTGGTCTGGATCTGGGCCTCTCTCTGGCATGGCCCAGAGGGAGTCACTGGCTGAAAGAGATGGAGCCTATTTCACCAGCTTCAAGAGGTCTTTAGTCCCCTGCCCAGTGCACAAAATGTGCTTCCAGAGCAAAGCCATGGAGTCAGGGCCTTGGGGTTGAAGTGTGGACCCACCAAATCCTGCTCCATATCACAGGGCACTCTCATCATCCCAGCTCCAACCTACGTGCACCCTTACCCAGGCTTTGCTTTGTGGAGATCCTGCAGCTCAGACTTCCTCTTCCTGGCCCTGAAGGTAGTCTCAGCCTCCTCCAAGCTATCCACATTATTTTTACAGCCCACAACTTCTCAGATATTCCTCTCCTCCCCCCCAATCTACCATCCCCCAATTTTCTCTCTGCTAGTAATTGCTTAGGACTAGAGATGGCAGCTCATCAACAGATCTTGATTGCTCATATATTTTTGTTGCCCCTGAAACTGCTCTTTCTTTATTATTATACATTATTGTTTTTATTATTCACCTGAGCTGGAGAAAATAAAGTGAGAAACAGCTAGAAGGCTGAGGACCTCATTCTTTCTGGGCAGAGGAGACAATGTGTGGGGACTCAGTTTAAAATTTTTTCTCAAAAAAATCACATCATCATACAGTCATGTTTTAATTATTATTATTATTAATATTAATATGATGAAGCAACTCTGTACAAGGACTATATAAAGGGGAAAACGTGCTAAAGACAGCCGTTTGAATAGGAGGGCATACTACAGAGAACTGGGGAGGGAAAGAAGGGAAGTGGTCTACCCACAGGGACTACACAAGGTACTAGCAACAGACACAGAGAACAGGACACAGATTGACAGAGAAGCTCACAAAAGTCAAATTTAAAGAGACAGGAAGAGAATATTGCATATCTTTGTCCCTCGCCCCCATTTGAGAGTGTTCTGGTCTCTCTTCTGTATTAGGCTGTGGGAGTCAGGCTAGAGTGGTGGAGCTGGAATCCAGCACCCCAGAGCCCTTGAGGTCACAGGAGAGGCTGCGTGAAGAGGTACCTGGGTGACCAAGCAAAGGGGAGTGTGCCTCATACCCAGGACGAGCCCACAGGGGAGTGTGCAGACAGCTGGAACGGCAGTGATTTCTGCAAACTTGCACCTAAGTGCAAGTTTATGTGGGTGGAGAAGTGTGTCAGGTGCCCAGTGGAGGATGGGAGCATGTGATTATATGGCCACTCTACAGGGTTGTATTTGGGAATATGAGGCTGCCTTCTTGCAAACACAGTCAGAAGAATGGGATGGGCCCAGTAGTGTGCTGGGCTCAGCTATCCCTGTGAGTTTGCCTGTGCCTCTGCACAGTCCAGTCCAGGGACTTGAAGCTGTGTGCTGGTGGAAGGGGAGGGGCAGCTATGTGGATTGCCTTTCAAGGGTGTGTTTGGGGAGACCCGCCCCAGACAGGAAGAACTCCGCACTAACAGGCCAGTTCACACTTCCCAAGCTGAGCTGAACTCCCATCAGTCCCTCGCTCCTGGCAAGGGTGGGTCAGCAGACGGGAGGATGAGGGACTCTCAGAGGGATTAAAAACACAGAATATGGGAAGGCAGGCAAGTTCCTTCACTGCTTCTCTCTCCCAAGCCAGCCTAAGATCTCTTGGGCTGGGGCTGGGGCCTGACCCGGCTGTCAGTGAAAGGCCCTCCACTGGAGAAGCCACTCTCTAGCCTCCAACCGGTTCTGGAGGTGTGCTCCTCCCTCTGCTCTGGTCCTTGTACTCAGAGGCTCCAAGCTGGAGGCAGAGGCAGCAGGTCCTGAGACAAAGGGCCAAGTTGGGGAGAGGGTGGCGTGGGAGACAGAAAGGAGTTGGGTGGGGGCTGCAGCACCTCCCCCTTCATTGTCACCAGCCTGGGAAACCTGGGCTGAGCAGGGAAACTGTGGCCAGTAGCCCCTTTAGGGGCGGATTCTCCTACAGCCTCATAAATTATGCCGGTCCAGCCTCCGCCCTCCCGGCCATGACCGTGAACGCCAGCGGGGAAGGGAGAGTCAGCGTAGGCAGCCTGTGGCTGCCAGAAACTCTCCCGCCAATCAATGCCGGCTTCCCAGCCCCTTTCACAGCATCTTGGGGGGGTCCCTCGGGTGGCTATTGAACACGAGGCTGCGTCTGCTTAGCTCTTAATTCCCCACTGGCAGCTTTGGCCCGCAGCCGCCTGGGCAGCAGAAAGAGAGGATGGCAGCACACCTGTGGCAAATGGGCTGGCAGAGGGCTCAGGAGGGGGCTGAGGGCCGGGAGACACTTGGGCGGCCTGCCCTAGAGGGGACATAAGGCTGTGATCGCCTTGTCCGCAGCTGAGTCTGCCAAACGTTCATGCTTCCGCCTGCTCTGCCGGTCAGGCCCGGAGAACCCAGGCCCTGCGGACATGGGCATTGCTGATCATAGTATTCTCCCAAACCGCACCTCCTCCGGGGTTCCCCCATTTCTTCCCGCCTTCCCAGAGCTACCCTGTCCCCCTCCTCTCTCTGGTGACCTCCACTCTTGCTCCCTCCTCTCAGCAGCTTCTAACTCCAACAACAGAGAGTTGTGAGAGACTTGGTTCCACTGCCCCCACCCTTGCCTACTCTTGCAGGCAAACAGATTTAAAATCACAGAAGAAAAGTGGTGGGAGTGGGTACCTGGGTCCTCAGTCAGAGGTCCAATGCCTCAGTCTACTTCAAAGCAACCCCTCCCCAGTGCCTCTGCCTTCCCTGTCCCTACCCCAGGCCTGCAGCTGTGGGCTTCTTGTCTCCCTGCCTGGGTTCTTCCCTTCTCTCTGGGGCCTGGCAGGGCCTGCTGGGGGTGTGTGAGCGGGAACCATGAACAAAACAGACAAGAGGACGTCCAGAGAGGGCCTGCAAGAGATGTCAGGTGTTCTAAGCAGTGAGCCTGCGTCCCAGGCAGTGCCCCCTCTCTTGCTCTCTGCCAGAGGCAGGCTCAGTCTGGGGCTGGCTCCCTTGTCCTGTCCCCTAAAAGAAGGAGAGAGCTTGCTCCCTCAACAGAAGTCTTTTCTTTTTCATTCTCCGGTTCTGAAACCAGATCTTGACCTGCTGGTCACTAAGATTCAAGCGGTCTGAGAGTTCCCGCCGGCGCTGCCGTGTGATGAACTCGTTCACGAGAAATTCGCCCTCCAGCTCGGCCAGCTGCAACTTCGAATAGGGCTTGCGCTTCTTCCGCGAGCGGCTGTGGATCGGGTACCAGGGCGTGCCTGGGTGGAGACAACCGGCAGGGTTGGCCAGACGACCAAGAAGTGACGAGCTCAGAGCCCTTGGTCCTTTCCTAGCCCCTTTCACCTTGGCCTAAGCCCGACCCCAAGCCCTTCCTCTCCTGTCTCCTCTTCTACACAGACCCCCCTCCCTACCAAGTCCCATCCTTCACCCTCCCTTCCCTCTCTCCCTCGCCTTCCCAGCTCTACCTCCCACTGCAGTATCCGCGACCCGTCTGAGCTCCTGTACTCTCACTTCCCCCCAAACCTCTTCCCCAGGATATCCTGCCCCTTCCTCTCACATCTTCCGGGAGGGGTACCTGATCAGTTAGAAAAGACCTGAGCAAGTGGCGAGAGTAAACCGTGTCCCCTGGCGTTTCTTAAAAGGAAAAATGTCGGTCATGGAGGCCGTGGGAGCGTGGAGAGCAGGGACGGTCCACCTTCCCACCCTCAGGCCTCGGGAAGTCTCCGTCGGAATCCCCCACCTCCGGAGCTCCCTGCCCCCTCCAGCCGCAGGCTGATGGAACTGGGAATCTTTACAGTTCTTTTACGGGGATATATACACGTTTATAGGGCTCCCCAACCCCCACTTCTTTTTAAAAGATATGTGCTTCCTCACCACACATTCTGTCACCCCAGGCGGCCCTAGCTCCGTCCGACCCCGCCCGCCCCGTCAGGCGTCCCGCCCCGAGCGCGTCTCCGGAGGGGGCCGGGGAGCTTACCCCTGGCCGAGAGCCCGCCACCGGGGTTTAAAGGTGAGACCAAGCTGCCGGGGTCGCCCGCGCCGGCGCCCTTGTTGCCCTCGTTGAGCAGGGACGAACTGGAGTCGGATTCTAGAGACTGGCACGAGGGCGGGTCGTGCGGGGGTCCGGCGCCCCCG